CTCCAGTCTGGGTGACAGAGTGAGACTCCAACTCAAAATAAGTAAATAAATAAATAAATAGATAAATAAATAAATAAATTAGCCTGGCATGGTAGCACATGCCTGTAGGCCCAGCTAGTTGGGAGGCTGAGTTGGGAGGATCACTTAAGCTCAGAAATTCAAGGTTGCAATGAGCTATGATTGCAACATTGCACTTAGCCTGAGCAATAGAGTGAGACTCTGCCTAAAACAAAACAAAACACCTTGGAGGTGATAAATTCTCAAGAAGTCACTACTATAACTTCTTTGAAGATACTACAGTTTTGATGTTTTTGTCCCCTCCAAAACTCATATTAAAATTCAGTCTCCAATGCAACAGTGTCAGGAGGTGGGCCTAATGGGAAGTGTTTAGGTCATGAGTGTTCCACCCTCATGAATGGATTAATGCTACTTATAAAAAGAGCTTTTAGGGGTGTGTTCTATCTTTTAATCCTCCAGCACATGAGGACACAGTGTTCCTCCCCTCCAGAGAATGCAGTGTTCACGGCGCCAATTTGGAAGCAGAAAGTAGTCTTCACTAGACATCAAACCTGCTGGTGCCTTGATCTTGGAATTTCAATCTCCAGAACTATGGGAACAAAATATCTATCTGTTCTTCACAAATTACCTGTCCCAGACATTCTGTTATAGCAGCACAAACGAATTAAGATGGGTTCTGGAAGGTGATTATCTGTGTAAGGCTGCCTCTGAGGACAAGAAACAGAAACTCCTGCTTCAATGAAGTTAGTAAGAAATACACTCATGGACCAGCTGACTTAGAAACGAGGGTCCTCCCCTCTCTGCACTGCCAGTCTTGAAATGAGCTTCACTCTCAGGCTGCCAGCAGACGGCAACACACTTCCAGGCGGCACATTCAGACCAGGGCCCACCAAGGGCCTGCACAGCCCCCTTATCTTCTCCCTGCAGCTGGATCTTCTTGCTCTTTTTCTAACACACCAGGTGGACTCCCACCTGGCCTCTACCTGCAGTGCTGCTCCCTCTCCCTACAGGACATGTGCACTGGTTCCCTCACCTCCTCCAGGTCCTCACTCAACAGTCACCTTCTCTGTGTAGCCTGCCCTGACCACATCTTCCGACTCCCCATCCCCCTTCTGGCTTCATTTGTCTCCACAGCATGTCACTGCATCCAACACAGGGTGCATTCCCTCGGCGCAGTAGGCTGACGGCCTCGCCTGCCCAGAAGGGGTGCTCCAGGAGGGCAGGGATGCTGATCCGTTTGTCCGCCCTCATATCCCCAGGGCCCAGCCCAGGAGGCCGCTCACAGTCATCTGCAGAGGAAGGAAAGACGGACAAGGGACCGACAGAAAAGGAAGTGCAGGGAAGGAGAATGTCTCCTTAAATGACACCCCACCTGTCACCCTCAAATCTCATCCCGGGCCTCAACCACCACCAGCAAGGAGCAGGGGTTTCCTTTAGCCCCACATGGGGACGGGAGTGGACCCTCAACAAAACCAAGAATGGAGCAAAGATTGCTGGGAGTACTTGGCAGTACCGGTTCTCCCCTCCGACCCGTGCTCCTCCTGGGCTCCCCTCTGTCTGTGGTTTGCAAACAAGGCTGTTTCAGCCCTGCGCGGCACATGTCTAAACAGTTCCCGCCTCCCCTCCCTGAAACCCATCCGCTCCGCACCCCGCAGGAATCCAGCTTCCACCCTCGGCCTTGAAATCTGCCTCGCACCCAGCTTGGCAATGACCTACTTGTTCCCAAGCGCAACGGGCCGGTCGGGCCTCACCTTACCCTGTCGGACCGCCCCTTCTTGGCATCGCAAACCCACCCACCCACCCACCACGCCGCCTCCCGGAGCTCCCGTCCGGCTCAACGCGGCGCTACCCGCAGCCTGCCTCCAGCCACAGGAACGCCCCCCGCCACGTCCGCTGCGGCCCGTCCCTGTCCCCACCGTGCCCTCTTCCACCTGCGGGGAGTCACAGCCCCAGCTCT